TCAGTAAAATAAAGTGTGCTTGAAAATGCCAAAATGAAACTCATCACTGTATGATAACTTAAAAAATTAATAAAATTGTTTTGTAAACTAGTGAAATATTGACAAAAAGTGAAGGGTTTAAAAGCAATAAGATTGTAAGTGGAAACTGCATGGACCCTTATCTCAGAACTGCCTGGAATACAGAATAATTTGCATAGGCTGAGCAGTGCCCCCGATGGCCTAGAGTCTATAACAGGCCTTGTTATCCTGACTTTTCCTAGCATGAACAGGGCTCAGTGGAGATGTTTGAGCATCTGGTTAATTCTAATAAACTCAAACCTGTCATGGAACACTATGGTCTCATCCCTGAGGAAGATATTTGCTTTATCAAGGAACAAATTTTGGGACCACCTATAACACCAATCAAAGATTGTTCGGTAAGTTTTTATTCAAGTTCTTTGTAACAAACGTGCTTTTCATCTAATCACTTCTTGATTTCCTCAGAGCTACATTGACTATTTCAGAGGGACTGAAATATAAGTCACATGCATCTGCCTTTTAATGCAAAATAAATGAAAGATCTATGTTTTTCCCACATCTTGAATTCTTTAGAAGTTACTTTCCCAAGTGGTACTTCATACCTGCAATGCCAGCACTTGGGATACAGAGGCAACAGGATCAAAATGCAAAAGTGTACATCTTGGGCTGGAGAGACAGCTCAATGGGTAGGAGTGCTTAGTACCTGAGTCTAGATCCCTAGCACCCCTGTAAAAAGCCAGTGTGAGCTGCCTTTAATCCCAGCACTCAGCAGGTGGATCACTGTTAGTTCTCAGCCTGGTCTACATAGCAAGGTCCAGGCCAGCTGGGGCCACATAGTGAGACCCTGTCTAAAAAAAAATCTACCATGGGCTATGCATATACCTATAGCCCCTGCACTATGAGAGGTAGAGACAGGAAGATCCCTGAGGTTTGTAGCCAGCAAGCTACAGTTTCAATCAGGAATCCTGTTTCAAAAAATAAGGTGGGAAGCCTGAAGAGATAGCTCAGCAGTCAAGAGCACTGGCTGCTTTTGCAGAGGACCCAGGTTCATTTCCCAGCATTCATATGGCAGCTAATAACTATCCATAACTCCAGTTCCAGGGGGAAGCCGATTGAACTGCAAATATCTTATTCTTTTTTTAAATTTCTTTATTTATTTTAATATTTTATTATTTTTATTTTATGTGTATGAGTGTATT